AGTCAAAACGCAGCAGCTCATACAGTGCAAGAAGGGCAGACAAACATATATATATATATATAGTGCCCACCAAAAACCACTAAAGCACCGACAAAGCACGGCACCCGCAAAAATTTGCATATCGCATTGGCGAGTGACCTTGTCACTTGTCCACAGAGCAACATTGGTGAGGCGGAGGCTCAAAGATATCGGGAGGACAACAAAGCTCTTCAGGCCAACAGCGGGATGCAGAGTGGATTGTCTACAATTGTGTGAAAGACTGTAAACAATGACCTTTGATGACCTTTGAGCCTTTTAAGCCTTCCAGTGGTCTCCACAAAGTGGCACATCCTTTGTCAACCCTTTGACAACACTCCAACAAGATCAACGAGGCTGTCCAACTTACCACCTTACGATCTCAGGCAGATGTTGTCGTGGCAAAACAGAGGATCGATGAGGCCCGCATTGGCGGATGTAGGAAATACTGTAGATCCTTCTGCCTGCTCCCCTTTCGACATCCAAATTTGCCATGGTTGTCAGGGCTGTCACAAGTTACTTGTTCCGTTGAAATTCCGTTGAATCACCGCCTGCCAATGAAGATTTCTCGAGTGCACCAAGCAAACCCACCCCGAGTCCAGGATGTGCATGGATTATCAAGGAAGGTCTAAGGTCTGTATACCGCTTTTGCATGCTTTTGCATTTTGTTTGCTGGATAAACTCTGCCGACCTCGGGTGAGCTGCCAGATTGCGGCGCAAGCCAATGGCAAGATTGACAGTGCCAATGAGAGAATTCGGACCTTAAGGCCTTGTGCAGTTGTATCGCATGCGGTTCGGCCTGCATGGAGTGGTACATGGAGCATCACCGAGCATCATCGAACATGACGGCTAATACGGCGAATGCCGGAGTGTTTGGCAAGTGTTTGGCATTGTTTGCCATACACCTCCCGAAAGTACGACAAGGACAGAGCTTTGCCTGCAGTGATACATTGGACTGAAATCAGAAGCTTTTGGCCCCAATCATTGTGACCTGGCCGAAGGAAGGAGCGGGATGCAGCTCAGAAAGAAGCTGACAGGCTCCGGGGTGCAGGCGAGCGGTTGGTGAGCCGTCAGGAGGAGTGTCGCAGAGAGCGGCAGGAGCTCGCTGAGCAGAAGGCGGGAGGGCAAGGGTGAGGGCGGGAGGAGCCCTGGGCCCTGGCGCAAAGGGTTTGCACCGCCACCACCACGGCTGTGACCAACTAGATCCAAACAGATTTGTCAAAGAACTCCCGCGCTCTTGTGACGTTGCAGGAGGCACTTCTGCGCATCGTCGAAGATTTGCATCAGCCTGGGTCCCAGCAAGACAACGCTCAGCTTTGGGGTTTGGCCTGGGGGTACACTTATGAAGCAGACTTGGGAAGACACGAATATGGAGGCCTTCCTACGTATCAGTTATTGCAAGTGAATTTTCGATGTCCGGTTACTTATATACCCTTGTTTCAGGCGAACCTTGAGGTTCGTAGAAACGAGTTTGGTAGCGGAGCTGGCCAATGTCCGTTTGTCGGGGTGCGTGGGTGGGCGGACGGGTGGGTAGGTCGGTACATTGGCACGTCTATCCGCACACCCGTCCATACACCAGTGTGTGTGCAAAAAATAGATCTTATTTCCACAAAACTTTGAACCTCAAGGCGCGCCTGAAGCAGGGGTAAGTGATTCGACATCAACACTTCACTCCAGTCATCTTCGGGTCATCCTGGGCGCCCCCAGCCGCAACAACATCTGTAGCGAACAGAGAGGCTTGCGCTTTTGTCAGGTCACCGTTGCATTCCAAGGTGTTCTACAAAGGATGGTTTAACTCCCAAGACCAAATTGTGGAGTAGGGCTGCGAAACCTGTTTCAATGGGCTTGCTGGCAAAACCTTTGGGGCGGTGCCATTTGGTACAAACTCGGGCTTTTGGTCTGAGACAACCAACTGAACCAGCTGTTCGGGGACGTGTAAGACTGTCTGCAGGACATGCAAGGCTGCCGGCATGACCAATGCGGGGAGGCACTCCATCAAGGAACCGCCTTTGCGCAGTGTACGTGCAGTTGGACGGCCCATCCACCCCCATACCTGTCCGCATGTTTGCGCGTACATTCATATGGCACGCGCGCCTGTGTGCGCAAAACGTCCAATCTAAGACAAAAGCACCCTTTTACGACTCCTTCACCTTTCATAAGGTATACAGCATACTTTGAGCATCAACCGAGTGCATAACAGCTCCATCCATCTCCATCTTATATTTAATATGAACCCAAACACGGTGATTGTTGTTCTTTGCTGGATTTGTGCAGCTTCAGGTTCAACGGCGTTATAGGTGCATACATGTCCACGCAGGCATAAGCATAGGGTTTCCGAGGGTTTCCGTTTTCCAGCCATAGCCGCAGCCCATAGCCAGTCTTTCAACATGGTCACGGAATGAAACCTGTCAAGGGTAAGACACCTCCCTCTACATTTGGGGCACATCCCGACCTTTACCACGTCGCAACAGCATGCTCACCCGTTTAATTTGGGCATTTCGTGAGCTTGCTCCAGGATATTGGAGACCTCACAGCCAGCTATCGCTTGGCCTGAAAGGAGGGCCTTGTGAACGTGGGCTAGAAGAAGAGCTGCGTTTGGCAGCGGAGAAATGACATTAAGGGACAACTGCTTGCAACCGAGTCCATTTGCTCAAGAAATTTTTCTTGGAAACTTCGCAGTCAACGGCGGACCATAAAATTATCTCGAAAAATGTGACTTGATGGCCCGATCAGGCTTGATCACAACAAACGGGTATTTTTTCCCCCGATTAAAACACATCGATCATTTTGTCCTTTTAGTCTTGTCTCCGAAAGGATCCGCTGTTTGAGTTCCCAGTCTTGATTCCTAAAACGACCAGCACAGATTCGGTATTCAAGAGCTGAACTCTCAATGTCCTTGCAGCCAATTGATTTAGCTGTTTCTTTGCCTGATCTCTCCTTCGCCAAATATGGCGATCGAAGCGTTGCTTAGCCCAAAAACGCGCTTAAGTGTGCAGCAACCAACCGAACTTGTGTTCGACTGACTGGTGAAGTTTCGGGCGGAAGAAGCAACCTTATGCATTGCTTCTTGCTACTAGTAGCTATTTGCTCCTAGTAATTATATAATGCCCTTGCTACTAGTAACCAGTAGCGATGCCCTTGCTCCTAGTGGAAAGGCCAGGAGCTACATGCCCTTGCCCCTAGTAGCCATGCCCTTTGTTACTAGCCAGGCATCATGCACAAGGACCTGAAACCAGAGAATGTGATGATGGCCAGTGCCAAGGGAGCTCCCATCCAGGAGAAGAAACCTTCAGTTTCATCAGCGCATTAAGCAGCTTCTTAATATTGAAAACATTAATACCAATAGAACCGGCGTTGATATATTTTTTTGAAAGCTAGTAAGTCCTTTTTAAAGTACTTTTTAAGTGCAGAGACGGGAAGCAATCATGATGCGAGTTGAGGACCTCCATGTGGTGGTGGTGGACTTCGGCCTGGCGCAGATGTAAGCTCCCGCTGCCCTGGGTGACCCTCATGGCTCCCACGAGGTGGTGGCAGCTTTTCTGGAGCCTTTTCGCTCATGTCTTGCGCAGTCATCGGGAACGTCTTGTTGGGAGACCAGTCCTAAGTTCTTATCATGCGTTTGTGACAAGTGACAAGAGTACATTACATGTTTGTGTCCCACTGCTGCATCGAGCGGGCTGGAAGTAAAGAAAAGCGAGCCTACATTTGCACTGCACTGATTTTTGAGACAAAATTGAACCACTCCAGACTCCACCTCAAGCATTTTCCTGCAGTACCTGTGCTTCAATCGAACACTCACCGATGCCTCTTCAAAGACCTACAGCCTTTGTTGTCCCCATGCGTGTTCTCCTGTATATTTTCATGTTTTTAACCCGCCGGCTTTGTGCCATGCCGGTATCAGTGCCTTGGAGTAAAGCTGTTTGCTGACTAAGTCTCACAACTCCACTAGGATCTACTTATATTTTTGAACAACAATACGCAATTAGGATCATGTTTTTAAGTATTATTATATAAGCACCTTTTAGACTTACAGAAGCACAGACAACTCAGAAATTCAACCAGGTTTGAGAGTCAAAGACTCCGGCGGCGCTGGCTTCTGCCTGACTGCGGTTGCATCTGGGTCAGGTTCTCCCTTTTCTTCCAAGGCCATTGTAGTGGAAGCCTTTGGCGCGACAGAGGCCTGAAGCAAGGGAGCGGGACAATATGTCCACGTAGCTTCTTGATCTGTGGAAAGTACGTATCCATCTAGAATTGTTCCAATCACTGGATTCCATCAGGGTTCAAGAGAACAAGACAGTCAACAATCGCGTGTTCACAGGTGCTGAAGTTTCACGCGTAATCCATTAGATTCCTGGAGCCCACATACCTGCACTTATCGCTTTGCAACTGCACAAGAGTCTGACTTTGTTTGGGCTTTCAATTCTCTTCAGTTTGGCTCGTTGTTGAAGGGTATTCTGAAGAGCCAGTGTTGAAGGAAGAACCCATGGTCTGCACATGTCAGGTGCTTCAGCTTCGTTCGAAAGAGCTACCTGCCTTGCAGCCAGGGCAAGTGCGTGTCAAGGCACGCTCGGTGGGTGAGTCAAATTGAGTAACTGGAGTACAGTAGCAAAGGAGATGGAGATGGGGAACTTTTTTGTTTTAGTCCGCTGCCCCGTCCCTACTGTTTAAGCAGATGCCTGCTTAATTAAGTAAGTAGCTCTAGCATGGACGCAGGATAGCTCACGCTTCTTCAAGGAAGCTCCCGCCGCCTGAGGGTGAGCTTCCTTGAAGAAGCGCTCGCACTATTCATTTGGTTCCTAGATTTTTAGGGAACCTGAGAGCTCACAAACACTGATAGCACAAAAGGGTTGGCAGGCCGAACCGGTCTTGGACATGACTACACTTGTGTGATTGTCTCAACTCTCAAATCAAATCGCCCAACTGTACTCCCCCCTTTTGACTGTTGCTGGTATATACTTGAGTTGCTCGAGGTGGAAGCGGCTGGGGTGAATCCTTCGGATACGTACCTCCGCTTGGGCATGAGTGGGCCTTATGCGGCCGTGCCACACCTGCTTCCGCCACTTGCTATAATTTGGCAAGAACAAGAAGCTTTTGAACAATCGTCAATCTTAGACTTGGACTTAGACTCTAGACATGGCAGGCGAATATCGTCAAGTACTCATCCTCTTTATAGGAACCATGTTGAAACAACATCCCATATTTATCCCTGGAGCTGTGATCGATGGCAGCAGCATGGAGCAGTATTTTGTTTCAAAGTTGGGATATTTGGGAACTTCCCGTTGTTTTCGCTGGGTTGCGGTGATTGGACAGGCAGCTTCCGTGGACACCAGGTTCGCGGGTAGGGTTTAGAGAGTGGGTTGACAGGGGCAAAGACTCAAACAACATTTTTTGAGTAAAGACGAGAAGCTACTATTAGCAGGAAAGCGCTCGCACTATTCATTGTGGTTCCTAGAATTTAAGGGAAACTTGCATCATGATCTTGACACCTTGCCAAAACAGCTTGGATGGTGTACCATGGTGTGCAGTGCAGGTGACAGTATGGTGCATGAGACGTGGATGATGTGGCAAAGACCGCACTCGGCCAGGCAAAGACGGTGCTGGTGTGGTGGAAGCGCTCGGGGAGGAGGTGGAGAGCTTGGTCCTGGGGCAGCGAGTGTGGCTTGGGCTTGAGAATTCGGAGGGGCCCTTCGGACCCTTCGGATTGAGGCGTCCGACGAGAGTGGGGATTCTTGCTATCCACAGTATTTAGTGTATGTCTTTATGGGTCACGTACGCGGATTTAAAAACGAAACGGACCTGAAACTCTTTCATCCGCAGTGTGTTTTGGCTTCAGCATGCGAGCTGGCCCTCCTGGTGAGGGAGGGCCACACCCTCCGGCAGACTGCGAGTGCCGACTCTGCAGGACCTTCCGGAAGGTTGCCAGCTTGCTGTTCGGAGCCGAGACTTCGCAGGTTCTTCGGGATAGGTGCCAGCCATATATCGAGGGCCTGTATACACAGCTATTAGAGATCGCCCTGGAGGGCCCTTGTCAGTGGAGGGGCCGGACAACAAGGGGAGGTGCGGCCCGAAGGCCCAACATCTCCCCCCCCGGCCGGTGAGCCGGTACGAGACAGCGGAGAACGAGGTGATCCGAAGCAGAAGCAGGAAGCTCCTGGGAAGACGGGAGTGAAAGAAGAGAAAGAAGAAGAAGCTCCTGGAGGGGCTGAGGAGAAGAAGAGGGGCCATCCCGTGAGGCCTACATCCATTGCCCCTGAGGAGGCCGACGGTGAGGGCGCTACTTCGGCTGGTTCACGGCCGGAGGTTGAGGCTGACGAGAACGAGGAGGCCGAGTCGAAGCGAAAGAAAAGGCCGCCACTCCCCAGGCAGCGACGAGGGGGTTACGACCGTGAAGACAGTCCCAAGCGCAGAAGGAGGAGAGAGGGATCCAGGAGGAGACGCCGTGAAGCCTCTCGTACACCCAGCCGCCACGAGCTCCACGCAAAGGCGGCGCCCAGTACAAGGCGGCCAAGGGCCCCATCCAGGAGCCCACCGAGTGTTCACACCCCTGAGGACCAGTCATCCAGTGCAGGTGAGCCCAGGGACGACATCGGCAGGTTCAGGGGTACATCCGTGGAAGTTGCAGAGGAACCCCGAGGAGAGGACACCCCTCATACGCTCCCCGCTGAGGAGGAGTCAGAAGAGGCTGTTCCCTGAGCATCCGATCTTGATTAGAATATATTAGAATCAATATTTTGATGTCCTGAGATATTGATTTTGCTTGTATTGATTAGAATCAATATTCTTTTTCAACCATCCGACAAAAAAATATTGATTAAAATATTGATTTTCATATTGAAAAAATATTGAAAATTATTTTGATTGATATATTGATTTTGGAGGTGCTCCTTGTACATGCAAAATGCTGCTAGTTTTGGCTCAAAATAGCAAGAAGATAGATCTATAGAAAGCTCTAGAAAACTCTTGGAAAAGAGAAAGGACAACTCTTGGAAAAGAGAAAGTTGTGCCCTTGGAAACGGATGAGTGGGAGAGGGGGAGCCAGGCATTTCTCCAAGCCTGTGGTGGATACTGATGTCCTCTACTCATGCTTGGAAAGGCATCAGGCCATGGTGTCAAACATGGGCCAATATGACCACATCAGTCGCTCACAAGGTGTGGACGCAAAGGGCATTGTTCACTTGATACCTCTATGGAAAGACCTCTTGAGGCCCTGTGGTGAGATCCACCCTCAGCCAATGAGGCAGGCCCTGCTGTCCCTCCTGGCAGAGCACCCAGATTTGAACACTGGGAAGCACAGTGGTCAGGTTTGGGTGAACCTCAAGGTGGAGCGCCTGAATTGTTTACTGGCTCCTGTCAGGAAACTAGGTGGGGAGACTGCAAACATGTCCCCTATTGCTGCCAAGCTCTGCAGGGAAGAGTACAACACCCTGTTGGCAGCTCTGAAGTTCTTGGAAAAGAACCCAGGACCCTTGGAAAAGGGAGATGGCACACCCTTGCAGGGTTAGCCCTTGGAAAAGGTGAAGGAAGAAAAGCCTCTCAAAGGCATCTTGAAGAGAAAGGGCCCAGCCTTTTCCTCCAGCCTTGGAAAAGGCTGCATCACAGCCCAGCTGTCTTGGAAAAGACAGAAGGCTCAACCAGGAAAGCAGTGATGTATCACTGGATGCCCATGGCTTCCCACAATGTTTGCCAGCCCAGACCTTTCCAAGAAGGCAGAGGAAGCCAAAGCCTTGGAAAAGGCAGAGGAAGCAACAGACAACCCAAGAAGCAGGCCCAACAGGCCAGGGCACAGGTTAGTGGCAGAGCAGTCCTTGAAGGAAGCCATGGGTTTCTTGCCTTGCAAGGCAAAGGCAAAGCCAAAAGCCTTGGGAAAGGCAAAGGCAAAAGGACATGGAAAAGCAAAGCCCTTGGAAAAGGCAAAAGCAAAGGCAAAGGCCTTGGGAAAGGCAGTTGCAAAGAAGCCATCAACAGGGTCCTTGGAAAAGGAAACAAGGAAACACTGGGTGAAAATAAGGAAGACATGTGCCAAGAACCCTGAAAGGGCATATTTGTGTGGCACCACAATTGCAAACAGCAGCAAACCCCACTTGATTGTTGAAGTGTCTGCTGCCAGGTGCCCCCAATACTCACAAGTCATTGATGACATCTGGGCAGCCTTCCTCACCAAGCTGGAAGCCAAAGACTTGAAAGAAACACTTTGCAGCCAGCTTGGCTGCGATGAGCACTCCATGGTTTGGGGCAGGCACCAGACCTATTTGAAGAAGAACCCCTTGGAAACGGAGGATCATGAGAAACTTGGAAAAGTTGAAAAGGGCTTGTCAGCTGCCCTTTGGCTCATGAAGAAGGAGTGCAAAAAGTATGTTCACACTGCCAGAGAAGAGGCCCAAAGGGAAAAGCTGACCAAGGAGGACACTTGGGAAAGTGAAAAGCAGATGCTGAACAAGTTCAGTGAAGAAGAGTTTTACAAACACCTTGACTCTGGGAGAATTGTGTACCGGTCAGACCCAAGCACCCATGGGGTGTGGCAGTACAAAGATACCCAATCCTACAAGAAGGAGACGGCTATCTCAAGGGGAAAGAAATGGGAATCAGGTCAAGAATTTGACCCTGATCAGCAGGACTTGGAAAAGTTCAAGCACTTGTACAGTGTGGAGGCAATGGCTCTGCCCTTGGATGATGTCGGTGCCTGGGAAGGCAAAGGGCAACCTGCAAAGGGCCTTGGAAAAGGCAAGGGCAAAGGGAAAGCCCTTGGAAAAGGGAAAGGCAAGAAGTGGCCACTTGCAATCCTGGATGGATCTGTGCATGAAGAAGAGCAAGAAGAAAAGCCAGAGCAAACAGAGGAAGAAGCTCTCAAGGAAGCCTTGAAAAAGGCAAGGAAAGCTAGAGATGCTGTTGCCTCTGTACAAAGTGACCTGGATGATGCCTTGGGAAAGGCCAAAGCTTCACTGTCCAGGCAAGGCAAGGCAACAGCAGAGGGCTTGATTGCTAACATGTCTAAGTTGGGTGTTCTTTGCACAGGCTGGAAAGCCATTGATTGGAGGGTACTTTGCACATCTGTGGTGTGTCATGGGAGACCGTGTGAGTTCTATTCGAACACTTTGAAGCTCCCACACTGGGCTGCACATCACCCCTGCTGGGAGTGCAATGCCCAGAATTGGGCTGGGTGTGATGCATCCCTGAACTACAAAGAGATCTGCTTGGAAAAGCAAAAGTTTGTAGTAGGGACCCATGCTGAACATTTGGCCGACCCATGGAGTTCACATGAGATCTTCCAACTGCCCCATGTGTCCAGCAAGAATGTTCGAGGGGATGCAATGCGCATACTGTTTTGCAAGGGTCTCTACAGTCATGTCATTGGTAGCATCTTGCATTATGCATGCTACTATGAAGGCCCTGGAAAGGTGCCTGTCAAAAAGCCTTGGGAAAGGCTTGCTATGCTCTTCACTGAAATCCAAGAACAGTATAGAGAGCAAAGCTTGGAGCATCGCTTAACCAACTTAAAGCTGTCTATGTTCACTGATGCAGCAAAGCCATAGGTAAGCAAAGCCAGTTTGGATTGCAAGGCTGGAGAAGCCAAGCATTTGCTCCCAGCTCTGGTCCCAGTCTTGGAAAGGCTCTTTGAAGGGACTACAGAGATCAGTGAACAAAAGATGCACACAGCAGCCTGCAGCTTGGAAAAGCTGGTGCAGCTTTGCTGCGATGCTGGCACATTCCTCACACCCAGAGAATTTGCAAAAGCCATGAGTCTTGGAAAAGACTTCTTGGATGCTTACAAGTGGCTTCATGCTTGGTCCTTGGAAAAGGGCAGAAACAGTTTTGCAATTGTGGCCAAACACCACAGTTTCATACATCTTCTATGGAATAGCAAATATAAGAACCCTACCAAGCATATGTGCTTCTTGGGTGAGGATTATGTAGGGCACATCAGCAAGCTGGCCCACAGTGTGAGTTTTGGTGTGTCCTCCACCAGGCTCACACTGAAGGTTGTCCCCAAGTACAGGGTTCTGGTCCACTTCCTGCTGACCAGGAAGATGGATCAGGACAACCTGGAAGATCTGTGACCTTGGAAAAGGCACAGTGGCCTTGGAAAAGGCAAACCCTCAAAGGCAATGTGGGTCAGCAGCCTTGGAAAAGGCTTTGGCAAAGACTTTGGAAAAAGGCTAATCCTTGGAAAAGGTGTCTGTACATAGCAGTCCTTGGAAAAGGTGCTTGTACATAGCAGACCCAGTTCAATGAAAAAAGCATGAAAAAGTGTCCAGAAATATTGATTGAAATATTGATTCTGGTGGTGTAGGATATTGAAAAATATATTGATTCAAGGGTCCAGAAACAATGGTTTTTTCAATTGAAAAATTGATTCAAAAAATCAATCTGAGATATTGATTTTGCAGACATCAAAATCAATATATTGATTCTAATCAAGATTGGATGCTCAGGGTTGAGCTCCCCGAGGAGGAGGCCCTTGAGCTGGGAATTCCGGAGCCGGAGTCCCCTCCCCTGAAAGGAAAAGGCAGGGGAAAAGGAAAGGGCTTCAAGGGCAAGAAGGGAAAGAAATCAAAGCCCAAGAAAAAGAATCGGGGGCTCAAGAAGACTTGGAGGAACATCGACTTCTACGCCAACAAGCGCCGTGATCCCACATGGCGCCGAAGCGTCAGCTGCAA